ACACTGAAATGCAGCCATAGAAATGATTAAGATGATAAATTTTGTGTTACATATATTTAAAGAGAACCCACTGAATTGTAAAGGAGGAGGAGGAGGAGCAAAGAAAGAAAAGAATCATGAGACAGTGAAGGAAATTTAAACACTAACTAGATATGCAATGATATAAGGAAGTATTTTTAAAAACTCTCGTATAGTGGTACATAATGAACTATTTACAGCACAAATGATGTTTGTCTTCCTTTAGAGTAATCTTCTGGGAGAAACAAGGGAAGCATAAATGAGATAATGTTTGCCATGAATGGATTAGATGTAAAAAGAGAAAATGAGAATATTTAGTCTTGAGCAAATGACTCTTTAAGTCATGTAATGTAGTTTGCACTTCTGGTAACTAATTTAGAAGCAGTTACTATTTCCGAATTTAAAAGCTTCAAGTGAGAAATTGGTTCTTTGTGACAACAAGTGACTTAGTTGCTATAAATGTTCTTTTGAGAATGTGTCCCTCAACCTGTATCATGGTCCACAAAGTCAGTTTCTGTCTCAACAGAAATACACAGTCTGTTAACTTACCGGCTCCTGGTTGCATTAATGTTCACCTCTTACTTAGTTTAAAAATGGAATATTGTGCAGACTTTCTCAGAGTCTAATTTTACTTTTGATTCTTCAAACATTATGAGATGATTCCAAAAATCAGTATGACCAGAAGGATCACACAACTCTACTATTATCTGGAATTATCTCTTAATAGCGACAGTGACCCTGAACACTGACTTGATTTTGGAATCTTCCGGAAAGTTTACAAATAGTGATTTCTAGATCCTCCCCCCAGAAAGGCTGATTTATTTGATCTAGAATGTGGGGAGCTTTTAAAGTACAACCAAGAGGAAAATCATCATAGAAGAGTCTGAAATCACGGATTTTTCAACGTAAATCCTGGGATTGGAAGCCAAAGAGAAGGCAAAATCAAAGGACTATAAGCATAATAGATTCTAGATTTTCTGTAATTGTAAATGTTTTAGCCTATTTCAACATTGTCATTAATGGTCTCGTCTTCTTTGCCCTGGGGTTACTTCTCAGAAGTGTCGAGCTCTTACATTACACTGGGCTAGGATGAAAAGAGTGTCAAGAGAACAGTATTGTAGACAACCGAGTTAGAAACATTCTAGGCAATCAGACAGGCCCTTCCCTCGAGGGAGTCACTGCAGAAGACCAGAACACATGGCAGCTTCGGCTGGAGGGCCATGTGTTGAAGGCCCGGCCTCAAGATGGAACGACTAGGCCTACATGTCCCCCAGGGGACAAGATAATTGATATCATTTGGCCCAGCAGCTATCAGTAACCCTGGTGGGTGGCCAGGCCCTCCTGACCCACCCCTTCCTAAAGAGCTCCTTGTTCCTTCCATGTCCACTTGCTACCTCACTGCTTCCCCACTGGATCAGTATCACCTAAGCAGCCGTCCTCATAGTGTTGACTCACACTGTCCCCGCCCTTGTGATTTTGTTCTATGAAACTTCCTTTGAGAAATGGGCTCCTTGGCAACCTACTTTTGGATTCCCTCCTGTCTCTCAGGAACTGCCTCTCTCGGTAAAGTTTTCTTACTTTTAATCTCCATCGTTCCTTAGAATTCATTCTTTGGTTTTTGGGGAACGTGAACTCAGCATATCTGGCATCTAGCAAGCTGAGAGTTATATTATTTCCCCTATATCAACATACGTGAGATAAAGTGTGCGAAACACTGCTTAAAAATAACAAGCTATAAAAATGTGAGGGAAACCAAAACTTTGAAGAGATGCATGAAGTGTACAGAACAGAAATGGTTATTAGTATGACATAAACTGCCTCAAAAATTGTGTGTGTGTGTATGTGTGTGTGTGTGTGTGTGAGCATGCGCGTGCATATGTGTTGCTGGGAATTGATCCAGGGGTTTTTCACTGAGCTTGCCCAGACTTTTTGTTTTAATTTATTTTTTTATTTTGAGACAAGTCTTCACTAAGTTGTTAAATTAGCAAAACTGGGCTCAAAATTGCTATTCTCTTCCCGCAGCATTCCAGAGTGCTATAATGATAGGCATATGCCAACATCCTGGGGTTTAAAACTAATTCTTAATACACACACACGCACACACATTCACACACACACATCTACTTTTATTTTGGAGGTGAGTGATTCCATCATCAATCACTTTTACTTGCTGGAAAATGAATGTAGTTTTTCGTGACTGAAAATTCTACCCATTCCAATGCTTACTGTTTAAACAGAGCCCTTTTGGAACAGGCTGGTTATTCATTTATGTAGTGCAGATCTGTCTCTACGAAGTCACACCATGTACAGTTTTGTTTTCTATTAAGTTCTCACACCTGGTTTGTATTTGGTGCGCTTAACTGTGCATGGTAACAAATGTAACACAGAAAATTAGATGCAAATGAAGGAAGAAAGAATTACAAGAAAAGTGTGTTTTTTAATAAACAAGAAAAAGCACATGACTTTAGCTCTGTAAGTTCTAAGACTAGAAGCTGTCACCCTCAGGGACTCAGCCTTGGCCCCCCGTTGGGAGCTTCCAGCCCCCCCCCCCCCCCCGGCTCTGGGTTTGGGGTCCTTGTCACTTCATTACCCACAAGCCCTCTTACAGAGCCCTTCCTCCTACTCTGCCCCAGGCGCTGGGGCTTCCATCTGGTGTTCTCAGCAGCAACCAGCCTGGTGTCATCATTCAACACCCCTATTTAGACACTCCCTTAATGCCTCTTGTTTAGTCTGGCTCATTGGGTGTTGCCCATAAAAAGCGCATGGCTTTTGTAATCACCACTAGTGCAGGCTGTGTGACTAATCGGTCAGTGCCCTGCCTCTCTGTTATCGTTGGTGAAGTGAGTCAGTTTCATCTTTGGCTGGTGCTCGTGTATGTCACGCCCTGCTTTCTGATAGTTGAGTCTAAGCTGCATTTGTTCCAGACTTTCAATGTTGTTTTGAAGTGTATTTGTTTTCTTCCAACAAACGTATTCTATGTTGTCTCTCAAGAGTGGACCTATCGCCACAGAAACCTGAGAAATTTTTAACAATGCTAGCCCACTATGCAGAATTCCCCAAAACCATTTATCTTCCCCAAAACCATTTATCTGGCCCTTGTATCAAAAACACACAGGTCATCATGCATGTACCAGATATTTACAATGTGCTGGGTACTTTCCCTACAGACTTCCTTAAAGAATAAAGTTTAAGTTGGATGTAGCGGTGCATGCCTGCAGTCCCAGCACTTGGGAGGCAGAGAGAAGAGTGTCACCACAAGTTGGAGGCCAGCCTGGGCTACATAGTGATTTCAAGGACAGCCTGACCTATGTAGGGAGACACTGTCTCAAAAAACAAACAACCCCCCCCATACAAGAAAGTTTATTTTAAAGCAGATTTAGATTTACAGAAAAATCTCTGTAAGATAGTACAGAGATTCCCATATATTCCACACCCATCCCCCCACTTTTAACATCTTATATCTGCATGGTACTTGTTACAGTTAATGTAAAAACATAATATATATCAATATTGATACAACACAATTAACATCCATACTTATTCATATTTCTTTAGTTCTATATTTTGTGTTTTTTCTCTCCAAGACCCTATCTTAGACATAATAACACCAAGTCCCTCAAGCTCCTCCTGACTGACAGATTCCCAGACTATCTTTCACTTTGCTGAACATGACAGCTTCAGTGAGTGCTGGTCAGGAATTCTGTAGGATGTCCCTAGTTGGGATTTGTTCACTGGTTTTCTCATTAGACTGGGGCTGCGCCTTCCTGGGAGGAAGATGGCCAAGGTAGAATCCCATTGTTAACACACCGCGCTATGGACGCATGCTGTCAGCGTGACTCAGCACTGTTGATCTTATCTGAGGGACGCTGGTTTCTCTCCTATCAAGCTGCCCTCCTTCCCCAATTCTGCACTCTTTGGGAGGAAGTTATACTACACATCCTAAAGGGGCAGGACGCTATGGCACAGCTCCTCTGGGACGGATATAACCCCAAATGATTTGAAGTCCTTATTTAGGCATTTAGTTATATCTGTATGGACTAAAGGATTTTATTTTTATACTTTGTTATAATCCAACACTTATTTGTTTTCTTGCTCACAGTTTTCCAGCTTTGGCCATGGGGAGCTTTTACACTTGGCTCCCTTTGACATCTGTGTGTGTGTGTGTGTGTGTGTGTGTGTGTGTGTGTCTGTGTGAGAGAGAGAGAGAGAGGAAGAGAGGGAGGGCATGGAGGAAGCACTTTTTCAATTTCTGGCTCTATGATATGTGCCAGCTGATTGTATATTTGTGCTCCAAACCTGAGTTGGTCATTTCTTCAAGTTCCTTTTATTGGAGCATGTTGTCAGAAATCAAGAACTGGGTACTAATACTGATGGGGTGACTTTGAGTGACAGCCAAACAAGAAAGCAAGTATAGGTAGATAAGGTTACAATAACCCAGGAACTTATATATTTGCATAGATACTTCTGTATGCAACCATGTGTCTCTATTAAGCTAAATATGAATTCAGTGGGATGTCTTCAACTCTGTCCATTGCCACAGAGATCACTCTGGCTTTCTTCCCTTTCTCCAACAGGCAGAAACCTGGCTTCCGCCATCTGCCATCATATATGTAACTGTTCAATTCTAGTATGCATTTGCTTAATTGTTAAATTCCAGTATCAGAACTGTTAGCTCATGGGAGTCATTTTCTAAGAGTTAAAAAGGAGAATACGACAGTACTGTCCACATAGGGTAAAATGGAGAGGAAGGTCAGAGAAGAGAAAAATGCAGGGGTTTGCTTTTGAATTGTAGTTCAACTTCTGTGAAAAAGTAACTTATTTTCTCCCTGGTACTGCTGCCTCTTGACTCAACACTTCTTTTGCTCCCTTCCTCCTGCACCACTCAGCCGTCATCATCCCTAATGGGGGTGTGGGTGCACCTTAGAGTGCATCACCCCGTCCTGAGCTGTGAGGCCACAGCACAGCGGGAAGCAGTAGTGGCTGGCTGAGCTATCAGCAGACGGGCACTGACTGGTCTAGATTTTCACACAAGAAGAGACAGCTATGGGGAGTAAAATGAGCATTTGCACTTGCCCTTCATCAAGACCCAGCCATACCTGTCATAGTCTGTGTCCCTTTATTGATCTGTCATCAGTAAACCAATTATTCAGGTACTATTTTCATCTATTGCCAGCTGGCAATTTTAGGAATAAACCCATGTTCACGTTCCAAATATGGCCTGATGCCTGGAAATTCATGATAATATATAGGAAAGAACAAGCGTTCCTGCAAAGGGAAATGTAACATTTCCCCTTGCATGAGAAGAGTCAGAATTTAGGTTTCTTGAAGGTAGAAAAGGGTACAGTGGAAGGAAACAAGGTTCTGGAGACCTGAGTGTGAATCCTAGTGCTTCTTAACAGTAGAACCACCTCGGGCTAAGTATTTGCTGATGTTTGCATTGAATTGATATTAAACTAATAAATATGAATTATTAAAATCATGTTTAAATGATATGTTTTATTAATATTAGGAATGACTTGTGACAAAACTCAGCATTTTATAGTGAAGAGTGGCTCTTTTATGGTGGTCATACCTGCAGTGCCGGTACTTTGGGAAGCCAAGGCAGGAAGATCACAATTTGAAGCCCAGCCTGGCCTTGTTTAAAAAAAATGGGAGAAATGAAAGAAAAAGGGGGAAGGAGAGAAAGAGAGAGCATGGGCACTGAGGATGTAACTTATTGTGAGGGCCTTTGCTTCAATCCCCAGTACCCTGCCCTTCCCAGAAAGTGAATTGTCATGTCTACAAATTTATAAATGATTTAGGGGACGGAGGAATCCTGGAATGGAACTCAGAACTTGGGCAACCATTCGCTGCACAAGAATGTAAGACAACCTTGATGACGGAGATGAAGAGAAAAACGTCAACTCTGTTACACTGCAAATGAGCACGGTCTCAGACCAACACTGTCAGGCAGAAAGCACTGTTCGTAGCGCTGTGCTCCAGTTGGGAGTGGATGTTAAACTCCCAGAAAGCATCTCTAAACCAAGGGATGCACTCTTTTTGTTGTTTCTTTCCCTTAGGAGGAACACCCATCTTGAATGCCTCCCTGGGATGTAAGACAAGGGTTGAGAATGATGGACCTAGAAAAAACAGAAGAAGTCTATTAGAAACATCATTCCACAGGGATATATGCACAGTCATGTTTATAGCAGCACAGCTTGTAATAACTAAACCTTGGAATCACTCCAAATGCTCATCAATGGATGAATGGACAAAGAAGAAGTGGGTGTTTATATACAGTGGGGTACTACTCAGCCTTAAAGAGGGATAAACTTGAGACATTTCTAGGATAACCTTGAAACCATAATGTTAAGTGAAATAAATTGGACACACATCTGTAAACATCACATTGTTTCTCTGGTGTGAGAACCACAAGTGGAAATAAGGGCCAAAATATGTAATAGGTATTGTGAGACAGGAAGAAATGTTCACTAGGAGAAGGCTTGGGGAAAGGAATAAAGGATAAAGGGGAAAAGGTAATAGAAGGAAAAACGAAAACAGGTCTTTTGCAAATAAGAAGGGAGAAAAAGGTTAAAGGGAAGGAAAGAAATGGGGAAAAAAGAAATCGAGATATACTATGTATAGCTACAAATTCCCTGTGATGAATGTGATCATGTATAGTTAGAATGTCCCAATAAAATTAATTTTTAAAAAGGAGAGGAAGGAGCCAGGAACCAAATATAGACCCCTAAGATCATTCCTCCATGACCAACCCAGCACACCCCGAAGCACAATTTATTAATCTTCTAGGCAGCTCTCAAGCTAATCAAATGGATTGTTAAGCTTAATTGCTACATTTGTATTATCATCTTCACAAAAGAGTTTTATAAGTGAGCCAGACAATACATCAATTTAGATTTTGTTTCTTTTATATCAAAATTGCACCCTGAATTTGGGAGAAATGCCAACAAGTATAACAGAAGTCACTTTAACATGAGAGTATGCATTTGGGGTTTAAAACAACTAAAATATTAAGAAAATAGTTATTCATAAATAGCAGTTGGTTCTCGTTTAAATAGTTCCCATTAGGTACTAATGCTTGCCTTCCTCTCTCTCTCTCACCCTGCCCTCCTCTCCAAAATTTTGTTATTACCCTGGATTTAGGAATTGCTGTTTATAGAAAGACCAGAAACAGGAGCTGCTGGTTAATAATTGCTAAGTATCCATTTCAGAATGGTTACTCAGTAACACTTGTAGGTCACATCCACAGTCCAGGAACTCATGTGAGCTTGCTACTCACTCTTCTGACCATCTATCTCACTTGGGTGGTTTTCAATTAAGAACAGCCTCTGGCATACAGGAGACCTGGATGCAATTCTAAGAATCAAAAAACAACAACAAAAAAAAAAGAAATCAAAGTTCCTATGGCAGATAGCAATTTTAAAAACTAAAATATACTTTTAAGTAAGGATTAACAGATTATTTAAACTCACAAAATAAGTTGGAAGCATTTAAATTCATGTTAAATAATTTTCACAAAAATGAAACAATATTCTAAAACCAGTCACTCTAACCCAGCCTCCTAAATCTTCATCTCTTTCTCCTCAGTTCCAGGAAACCAAGACAATATCCATAAAAGGGGAATAAACAAAGTATCAGTGATGGTCGTACTGATATTTACATTCTGTCCTTAAGCTGGACCTTTAACTCCCCGGTGTGAAGCCTCTTTCCTTGTCTGCACCTACCTCCTGTTTTTCACATGTGACATCCAAAGCTACAGAGCTCTGGGTGGAGGAGCAGCCACACCGCCCTGCCTTAGGCTGTGGCTGCTTCATTGCGAAGGAGGCTTGGATTAGAAGGAGCATCCCCAGTGCAGAAGGCTTACATCCTGGGAGAGACACTGAAGTTCAAAGACAACACAGAAAGCCAGCTATCAGGGATGACAGACTTATTCCGCTCAAACAGCTGCCTGTCTGTCAGATCCAAATTACTTATATTATATAGGCCTTGGTGTCCTTCAGTGCAGGGATGAGTCCAAGGTCTTTTCCAACAGACATTCTGTGATTCTTTTTTAAACTGCATTTTTAACATGCTTTTTGGTTTGTTTGCTTCTCACTTTTCTTTTCTTTGTAGAGACAGGGTCTTGCTCTGTAGTTCAACTGGGCTCAAACACTGTGTAGCTGTGGCTGGCCTTGAATGCAGGACCCTCTTGCCTCAGCCTCTCAAGTGCTGTGATTACAAGTGTGCACCACCATACCTGGCTTTAGTCTGTGATTCTAAGGGGAGCAAAGATCATTTTGAGGGAAAATTACTTAGAGGACTCTCTTCCAAGTGTTGTGCCACTGCTGTTATAGTGTGTGTGTGTGTGTGTGTGTGTGTGTGTGTGTGTGTGTGTTGAAGGGTGGGTAGGAGGAGAGAGAGATTCTTCCTTACACATCAACAGTTAAAAGCACGTTGAAAAAAAATCCACTGTGCTGTCTCATGTTCGGGCAAACAGGAATCAGGGCATCTTGACCTCAGGGTCCCGTGGAGACTGCCCGGAAGCCTGAAGAGCCTTCTAGCCCTGCTGAGACAGCATCCTTGCAGCACTGAGAGGAAGCTGAGGGGGCAGTGTGGGCGTCCTCAGGGCCCCAGCAGGATGAGCAAATGTGTGGCTGGCACTCAGCACCAAATGAACCCCTGACTGTCTCATTGGCCTTGCAGTTGTCTAGGAAGGAGGCGGAAAAAAACAAGCAATTTTCCCTATTCAAAATTAACTTTAGAAAGCTAACTGTAGGATGGAGTGCAGCTCACTAGGAAAGCGCTTGTGCAGCCTGTGCAAGGCTCTGTGTTTGATCCCCAACAGCACAAAGCGAGCAAGCAAACTAACTATGCATAGTACTTGCACAGTGGCCAGGGCATTATATGTGGGCCATTGTCTGCTTACAGATTTCTTTGCTATTTCTTTGCTATGGCTGTTAAATCTAAGACTTTGGACTGGAGGGTGATCTACAAAGTGCACAAGAGCTTGAGAGCCCATGCCATCGTCTCTGAATCTTTCTGTCCCTCCACAACTCTCCATTCCCCTTTCTCCCTCCCCTCCCAGCCTGCTAGCCCAGGCCTGGTCGCTGTCCAGCTGTCCTAGGGCCCTCTGGCTTAAGGAGCTGCTCACCTCTTCAGTAGTTCTGTGTGACCACACTTTCATTTCTCCTAAAGCCTCTCTGTTGGGTTCATGCAGACCCTGCCTACATCTGTTCCTTTCTCATGTGGCCCTAAGCTCCATGGAAGACCCCTGGCTATGGGCTTTCAAGTCCTCTACTGGCCCCTGGCCCTTTGCTTAGGAGCAACCTGCTTCTTGCCCTTTTTTGTAAACTCTCACTTCTGCCATTTGAGTCTCAGCTAAAATTCTTCATGTTCATTCATTCCTCAGCACCCTACACAACTACATAGCACAGCACACTCTGACTATCTGGGCCCAACTTTTCATTTTGATTTCAAGCTTTGAGCACAGAATCTTCTTAATACATGCAAAATGAATAAACAGACCTGTATTCTAATGATGCCACCTTGAATTCTGATTTAGTGCTGGATAAGGAAGAGGTATGTGATGAAATTTGCAAGCCAAGACATGGGAATTTATATTAACTGTTAGTACTTCAATTCACTTTATGGAAAGTCACCTTGAGATCAAGGAAAATGAGGCCAGAAAATCTCTATAGTCCCTTTCAGTTTCAAAGATCTTATCTAAAAGGAAGGTCTCTGTAGCAACCGTGGATGCCTTTTGGTTAAAAATGGCTCTTCTCAAAATTATACTGCTTGTTGGGACTGTTAAACCTCCTAAACTAGCTAGCGCAAATTATTACAGTGGAAGTCTCCAGGGATAGAGAACACTGGAGATGTGCGCTTTGGACGAAAGGCTCTTTCCTGGCACGCAGGCCACAGCTGTGGCACTAATCTATGCTCTGGGACTGGAATTCACTGCTGGCCCAAGTTCCTGGCTTGTGGGTACATACTCCCCACAGTGTGACGAGCCTGGGAAACTTAGCATTGCCTCTCTTTGCTCACCCAAGAAAGAATGATAACAACAGTAAATCAGAGGAGAGGGCCTAAGTCCAGCATCTCTTTGGGTGCTTCTGGGGCTCTGCAGCTCTGCCAGGAACCGTGTGTGGACGGTCAGTTACTGCTCTGAGCTGGAGATGGGGTGGGGGACAAGCTGGTCCAAGGGAAAACCAAGTCAGGTGCGACACTGTGGATTTCTAACCCACTAGTGAGGTAATGTTCCCAGTGTTTCAGGACAGTCAGGAGCCATGGCCTGCCTGGGGTGGGGGACACTGTGGTTTAGAATCTGGAGTCCACATCCTCTTCCCGCGGAGAATCTCTGCCATTCAAAACTTTGAACTGCAAGTAAGAAATGAAATGGAAGAAAGTCGATCATCTGTAAATGATCAATCTCCCTACCATCTGCGGAAGCAACGCCCACAGAGAACTTTGCTCTGAGAGAGTTCAAAGCACCCAGTCCTACACCTCACCACACATACACACACAGCTTTGGATCAGGATCTCAGAGAAGGGGATGAAGCATCTTCATTAAATCAAGGCCCATTGGTTAGCCTAGTGTGCTTAAACCCTTGTTACTTCAACTACAGAATGGGCATCACTTGGGAAATGCAGACTCTGAGACCCTGCCCCAGACCTACTGAATCTGAATTTTTTTTTAAAAAAGGCAGAATCTTGCTATGTGGTCTAAACTGACTTTGAACTCACTGCGTAGTCAAGCTGGATTCTCCTTCCTCAGCCTTCTCAGTGCTGGAATTACAGGTATACACCACCATACTCAGCTTTGAGCCTGCCATTTAAAAAAAATTATGTAAAGTACATATAACACAAATTCTACCATTGCAGTTATTTTAAGTGTACAGTTCACTGTGTCATTTCATTCACATCATTGTATAACCCATTTCCAAAATTCTTTGCATTTTGCATAATTGAACTTTGATGCCTTTTAAATGATTCCCCATTCTTGTTTCCCCGTTTCCAGCCATCATCCAGAAGCTGCATTTTAACAAGATGGTTCTTATGTCTACAGGATGAAAATTGAAAATTATAAAATCAAGAGCCTTGAGCAAGTTTGGACAGGCAGCCAGGTCATTTCCAAAGGGCAAGGTAAGGGATGAAGCAAGGGAAGCAGTCAGCAGAATTGTGGCAAAGCTCTCTGGGTAACGCCGAGGAGTGCTCCAGTTTGAGAGTAGCTACCTAAGAATTTAAGAAACATATTCATGCCCAAGACCATCTCAGAACAGCTCACTCTCTTTTGAATTTCAGTCAGATCTAGGGCTGATCACTCCACATTTATTTAATCTGCCTTTGAGGAAGGTTCACAACAGTTTTCCCAGCTGTACGGTCGGTCATCAGTGATTTCAGCTTTGCCAGTGTAACCATGTTTGTCGCTAGAGTTAGAAACTGGGGATGTTTGCTGGGTGTGGTGTAATTCTGAGGGAGGATCATGGCTTCAAGCTCAAACTGGGTTACATAATAAGTTTAAGGTTGGCTTGAACTATATAATTAGACCTTGTCTCAAAACAAAATAACAACAGAAAATCAAACAAGAATAAAACTAATCAAGAGAGGAAGGAAAGAAAGAAGGAAGGAAGGAAGGAAGGGAGAAGAGAAGGAAAGGGAAGGGAAGATGTCCTAGTAAGGACTTAGCATTTGTTTTTTCTTTTCTGCATTATTGATTCTCTTGAGAGGATTAGTCAGAGCATTCTTATGCACCATTATGGCAACACAGAAAGATGGTGGAAAGAGCAGTAAGATTGTGGAGCTGTTAATGGGAAGGGGCGAAAGAGGTTAGGAGGAAACAGGATTCTGCAAGAAGCTGTGGGCATTAGGGGGAAATAGTGATTGTAGGAGAGACCGTGGGGCCGTTCCACTTTATATCCTTTCAGTCACACTGCCATGGCTTTGGGAAATCTAACACGGGAGCAAATCTGTGTTTGTGAAAATAAATAGCTATCTTATTAGACACTTTAACACTTTAGATGCAAACAATACATCTAATGTTTTAGAGGCAAGCTCTTTCCTCATTGCCTGTCAATATTTCCTACCACAGCATTCTGTTAATTTTCTTAATAGCATTCACCACATTTAACAATTGTCATGTTCATTATCTACCTCCAGTTGATAAAGTAACAGCAGTAGCTATATGAGCCAGGTTAATTGATTTTGCTCACTTCTTCCTCACATACAAGCCCTTGAAAAATATTTAAAGGAAACAAATAAAGTATTCAATGAACTGATGTACTTATCAACCCTGCTGTGTATCAAATCACTTTTAGTCTGCAGCCCCAAACTGCTTGTTAGTCAGTTCCCATGACTGTGACAAAATACCCATAATCAACTGTTAAACAGAAAAGGGTAGCTGAGCATGGTGGTGCAGGCCTGTAACCCCAGCACTCTGCGAGGTTAAGGCAGGAAGACCACAAGTTCAAGTTTAGCAGGTGAATTTAGTGACTCAGTGAGTCTCAAAATAAAGTGCTTTGGACAGTTCAGTAAAAAGACTCTGAGTTTGATCCCTAGTACTACAAAATAGGTGAGTGAAGAGGAGGGAGGGAGAGGGGAGAGAGTGAAAGGGCAGGGGGGAGAGATTGATTTTGGCTCACAGTTTTGGAGGTCTCTGTTGCTGTGGCTTTGGGCCTATGGGGAGGTAGCACATCATAGTGGGAATGCATGGTAAAGTTACCCATCTCTTAGCCAGAAAAAAAACAGAGGAATGGCAGGAACCCCACAGTCCTCTTCAGGGGCACCCCTCCGATGCTCAAGAACTTCCCAGGAGGCACCGCCTCTCCAGCTTTCCATTGCCTCTCAACAAGACCGCCCTTCAGACCTGTCCATTAACACATGGAATTAGAGGGCCCTCCAACATCTAAGCCAGTGTGCCACTGAGAGTAACACAGAAGGCAGCTACACTGCTAGGACCCAGAGAATTACAGAGGTGGAGGGAGCAGAGCTTTGTGGGGAGGCTGCACCAAGCAGTCAAGGTCAGTGCTGGAGCTTTCCCAGGAGACAGATGCTGGTGCAGGGTCACAGGGCAAACCATTTCACTGGGTAAAATTCGCCTTAAGTGACAGTGTGACAGGTTTTCGAGCTAGAGAAATCTGAATGTAAATGTGAGCTCATCCAGAACCTTCCAGCTGGTAGTGGGGCTTGTTTTGCAGCATGTTAATGCAGCACTGCAGGCAGAATTCTGTAGTAGAAAGAGCAGATTTGGGGATGCAGGTGAGCTTAAATTCTGCTCCCTCTGCTGGCTGGTTTTCCAACCAACGGGAATTACCCATTAGAGCTTCAGCTTCCTCAACTAAAGATGGGTAGC